GACCTCAATGTGGACCAATTTAAAAACGGGGCCCAAAATCCAAAAACTAAATACACGGTTAGATTCAGCATATTAAAGAACCCCATGAAATCAAGAATAAAACCCCATTGAAATTGGTCAAGAAATAAGCAATTTATAGGAAGTATCTTCTTTTGCACAATCCTGTGCTATTAAATATTTCTTGCTATTGCGCAATACTGTACAATTGACAATTTCTTGCTATTGCGCAATATTGTGCTATTGGATATTTCTTGCTATTGCGCAATACTGTGCAATTGAAGATTCCTTGCTATTGCGCAATTCTGTGCAATTGAAGATTTCTTGCTATTGTGCAATACTGTGCAATTGAAAATTTCTTGCTATTGCACAATACTTATTATATAATAATTTACACATCCTGTTTGGTGTGTATCTCCTACCATATCATTATTATTTGATTTTAAATATAAATCAGAAATAACCAACTTAAAATGGAAAATTTTAAAAGAAACAAAAAAGGAAAAAAAGAAAAAAAGGAAAAAAAAATAAATCCCCCCCAAAATTTTTTGAACCCCCATTAAAATTCATCACCCCCAAACTCAATCCCAGCCTTCACTTTGTGGTATGGTACCTTGCAGTACAATTTCAGAGAGATCCATACACTTGAACACAAGTTATTGTCTGGAAACTAGAAAAAAATGTGTTTTTTGGCCCCTTTTTGGCCCCAAATTCCTAAACGTTTAGGGCAATTACCCCCAAACTCAATTCCAGCTTTCCCTTTGTGATATGGAACCTTGTAGTATAATTTCAGAAAGATCCATACACTTACACACAAGTTATTGTCATGAAACTAGAAAAATGTTTGTTTTTTGCCCCTTTTTTGGCCCCTAATTCCTAAAATTTGGAGGCAATTACCCCCAAAATCAATCCCAGCATTCCTTTAGTGATATGGAACCTAGTGGTACAATGTCAGAGAGATTCATACACTAACACACAAGTTATGTCTGGAAGTTACAAAAATGCTTATTTTTGGCCCCTTTTTCCTTTACTGTTATTACCATAACCCCCAAAATCAATCCCAACCTTCCTTTTGTGGTATTGAACCTTGTGGTAAAATTTCATAAAGATCCATTCACTTAAACTAAAGTTAGAGTGCGAAAAACCAAGTGTCTTCGGACGACGACGACGGACGACGACGCCAACGACGCCAACGTCATACCAATATACGACCACAAAAATTTTTTTGCGGTCGTATAAAAACTTGTTAAAAAAAATCCTCAAGCAAAATAATGTATTAGCTTAGATTTATAATGTAAGTATATCCATTAATGAAATAAACGATTTTTTTTTACAAATAATTCGTTTAAGTGATTGGCAGATTAACTTACATTGTAATTATGAAGAATGAAATGTTAAAAAGAAAATTTAAAAAATCATGCATGTTGTACTGTTGTATTTTTTTTTCAATTAAAAACTGAAAAATTTAGATAGTTTTACGATTGTTAGCATTTTAACATCGCCAGATTTAAATACAAGTTAAAGAATTCCGGTAAAGTAAATTAAACAGATGTGCAATTATTATTAATTGGGAAATGAAACATTTAATTTTTAAGATCAAAAGTACTATTCTTTTAACTTCATATTTTAATTTTATGCAAATTGCATAGAACGTAATCGAAAATTGTTCCACTGTAATATTGTATACACTTCCGGAATTGAAAAAACATTGAATGTTTATTTTCAATTAATTTATACAATTTAATTATTGTTTCTCTATTGTCATCGGATATTTCATCTTGGTGTATTAAACACGCTATACTCTTTCTGTTAATCCATTCAAACTGAGAACATACACACCTGTGTACGCTTGAATTCACACCTGTGTACGCCTGAGGCTAAATTGCTGCAAGGTAAAGTTCAAAGGAATTCTCCTCAAATCGAGAAATAAACAATGACTTTACAAAGTAATATACACGTTCTGTTCACATATATTTTGCATTGAAATGGTTATCAAAGTTATAACGGTAAATAAAACGTTAAATATTTCAGTTCAATATCAGTAAAAATGTTCAATAGATATTTTATGAAACAATCTCAACAAAAATTTATGAAATTAATTCGAAAATATTTATATTCAGATAATTTCACATAGGAAGTTTTATTCAATCAATACAAAACGGTTAACGCGTATTCATTTTCTTTCATTCTTATATTGTGGTTATTAACTACGACCAACGATCATCTGTGCGCTTTTAATTACGTAAAATTCTGATAAGCAATTAAGACTTTAACAGATTTTATTTTTTCCCATGATTCAACAAATCGGGTTAAAACGTCACAACCAAGAGATGTAGGTCAACCAAAAAAGTTACAAATACTTGATTTTCTCCGTTATTAGAAAGAATATTAATTTAAAACTTTGTGAATGTGTTTTTTATGTTAAGATGAACATATTTAGATGATAAGTAAATAAAATGCTTCGCTGGGGCGCAGCTTGATACGACCGCAGAGGTCGAACCCTGAACAGTTGGGGCAAGTATGGACACAACATTCAAGCTTGATACAGCTCTGAATTTGGATTGTTATTAAATATTTGACACAGCATAGGTTTCTGACACAGAAAGAATGTAGTCTAAGAACTTGAATTTTTTTAATTTACCTATTATGGTCCAATGTCCAAAATCAAAATACATGGTTAGATTCAGCATATCAAAGAACCGCATATATATTCAATTTTTGTTAAAATCAAACAAAGTTTAATTTTGGACCCCAACTTGGACAAACTTGAAAACTGGGCCCATAATCAAAAATCTAAACACATGTTTAGATTCAGCATATCAAAGAACCCCAAGAATTCAATTTTTGCTAAAATCAAATTAAGTTTAATTTTGGACCCTTTGGACCTTAATGTAGACCAATTTAAAAAACGGGACTTAAAATTAAAAATCTAAATACACGGTTAGATTTGGAATATCAAAGAACCCCAATAATTCAATTTTTGATGAAATCAAACAAAGTTTAATTTTGGACCCTTTTGACCTCAATATGAACCAATTTGATAGCGGGCCCACAAATAAAAAATCTAAATTCATGGTTAGATTCAGCATATCAAAGAACCCCATATATTCAATTTTTGTTGAAATCAAAAAAAGTTTAATTTTGGACCCCAACTTGGACCAACTTGAAAACTGGGCCCATAATCAAAAATCTAAACACATGTTTAGATTCAGCATATCAAAGAACCCCATGAATTCAATTTTTGCTAAAATCAAACTAAGTTTAATTTTGGACCCTTTGGACCTCAATGAAGACCAATTTAAAAAACGGGACCCAAATTAAAAATCTAAAAACACGGTTAGATTTGGCATATCAAAGAACCCCAATAATTCAATTTTTGATGAAATCAAACAAAGTTTAATTTTGTTCCCTTTTGACCTCAATATGAACCAATTTGATAGCGGGGCCCACAAATAAAAAATCTAAATACATGGTTAGATTCAGCATATCAAAGAACCTCATATATTCAATTTTTGTTGAAATCAAACAAAGTTAATTTTGGACCCCAATTTGGACCAACTTGAAAACTGGGCCCATAATCAAAAATTTAAATACATGTTTAGATTCAGCATATCAAAGAACCTCATATATTCAATTTTTGTTGAAATCAAACAAAGTTTAAATACTGGACCCTATCTTGGACCAACTTGAAAACTGGGCCCATAATCAAAAATCTAAACACATGTTTAGATTCAGCATATCAAAGAACCCCAAGAATTCAATTTTTGTTAAAATCAAACTTAGTTTAATTTTGGACCCTTTGGATCTTAATGTAGACCAATTTAAAAAACAGGACCCAAAATTAAAAATCTAAATACACTGTTAGATTTGGAATATCAAAGAACCCCAATAATTCAATTTTAGATGAAATCAAACAAAGTTTAATTTTGGACCCTTTTGACCTCAATATGAACCAATTTGATAATGGGGTCCACAAATAAAAAATCTAAATACATGGTTAGATTCAGCATATCAAAGAACCCCATATATTCAATTTTTGTTGAAATCAAACAAAGTTTAATTTTGGACCCCAATTTGGACCAACTTGAAAACTGGGCCAAAAATCAAAAATCTAAATACATGTTTAGATTCAGCATATCAAAGAACCTCATATATTCAATTTTTGCTAAAATCAAACAAAGTTTAATTTTGGACCCTTTGGACCTTAATGTAGACCAATTTGAAAACTGGACCCAAAATTAAAAATCTAAATACACTGTTAGATTCGGCATAACAAATAAATAAATGTGATCAAAGATTTTACAAATCTAATGTGCCATACTGTGCAATTAAAGATTACTTCTTGAAATTTTTCAATATTTGAAATTTGAAAAAAAAATAATATTTAAAGAATAATTCTTTTTAATTTCTGAAATCTAAAATGAGAAAAAATTGACCCCCCACAATTTCTTTTTATCCCCCCCCCCTTTTTTTCCCCAAAAAATTCTTTCCCTCAAGATATGGTCATAATCTCAATTCAAATTTCCAATGGAGTTGGCAACCATAATTACCCATTTAAATTTACCATAGTGCTAACTTAATCTATTCTATAATAGAATTAAAAATATAGTGTCAAATCTTTCATATGGATTTTTTTGTAAAAAAAAAGATGCAACATTTGCAGATATTTTTACTGGTCTTCCTTTATAAATATGCATTTCTTTAAACATAATTTAAAAGCAGTGTAAGGGAAGTAACCAAAACGTTGTATTTGGATTACCTCCCTTACACTGTTTTAAATTATCTTTATTGTTCATTAACCATTACTTTATACATAATTTAAAAGCAGTGTAAGGGAGATAATTTCAATGATGTATTTGATTTATCTCCCTTACACTGCTTTAAATTATGTTTTGTATTAAAGTATTTGTCCATTAACCAGGACAACCTTGTTTTTCCCCCTTTTTTGCCTCTAATTCCTAAACGGTTTGAGCCATAACCCCCAAAGCAAATCCTAACCATACCTTTGTGGTATGGAAACTTGTAGTATAATTTCAGAGAGATCCATACACCGTTCCACAGTTATTGTCTGGAAACTAGAAAATGCTTATTTTTGGCCCCTTTTTGGCCCCTAATTCCTTAACTGTTGGTACCATAACCCCCAAAATCAATCCCAACCTTCCTTTTGTGGTATTTAACCTTATGGTCAAATTTCAAAAAGATCCATTCACTTAAACTAAAGTTAGAGTGCGAAAACCAATGTGTCTTCGGACGACGCCAGACGACGACGACGACGACGCCGGACGACGACGACGCCAACGTCATACCAATATACGACCACAAAATTTTTTTGCGGTCGTATAAAAATCGCGGACTTTCCCTTTAAGAAAGCCTTGAAATCTGAAAAGTAGATGACCGTTTCATGCTTTGCCCAGCCGGACTTTTACCGGACATTATACAAATGTCCGGAATATATGACCGTTCTGGAAGCCTTGGCGAACAGGCCCAGGATGCGAACGTGAATGGTAAAAATATCATAAAGACCTAAGAGCTATCAGTTTTTACTGACTGGGTTTTTGGGATGTAGTTGGAAATAGTGTGATAGTACGTGAACTCCTATGCATATTTCCAAGCAACTGTCCTCTTTTAATGATGTTTTCCCGTATTTTTCAAACCATTTTTACCTCCATTATCAGCCCTCAATTCAGGCTATTAAAACAGTCGCCTGGGCGACCTATAAAGCCTCCAGGCGACCTTAATTTCATTGTTGGTTGCCATTTGGCGACTGGTACTATTTGGACCTGGCGACCGTAAAATTCTGGATAAATAACCTGCCTCCGGTCATATTTTATTAAGTTTTATTCACAGTCATACGAGCGCTTGAATGTATGCTAAATCTTGAATATGATTTCAAGCATTTTTAATCTTAACTGGGAATTCAAATGTCTGATGAAGTGTTTTCAGGGCCAATACATCTTGGCAGCCAAACAGATGTTGCTGTCCGGATTATTCAAATAAACTACCCAAAACAATGATGTTTCACCAGCTAAGAAACAAAAAGAAGGGGCGGAGAGTTCCTCTATAGAAACTCCGGCTTTTGAAGAGCCAAGTACATCTTCTAATGTTACGATTAAGTGTAAAATCGCTGCACCAATTTCAAGTGGTACTGGAAAATTTATAAGAGAATTCCAAAACAGCTGGCTAAAAGAGTTGTCCTGGTTGATCTATAATGAATATAAAAATAAAATGAGCTGCAAATTTTGCCAGAGTCTTCCTGATTTACAATGTAGCTGGCCAATTGGATATTTGCTTTGAACAAAGACTAACTTATTTTATGTCTTCTCTTCTATACAACGGATAAATTTATTGATATGCTTTTTTTTACCAGTAGGTCTTTTCACCACCAAACACCACCAAATACCCCAAATTTTTTTTTTTTTAACTCTTATCATGCTTGTTGTTATAAATGTGACCTAAATATAATATTTGTTATTAATTCAACAAATAATAAGGTTAAGAGAACTAATATCTACATCAAACAGAAAAGGCTAGTCTATAACACTTCAACTCTGCAAACCACCACTGGACACCTCAAATAATTTTTTTTCTTCTTTAATAAAACAGTTGTACCAATAACAAGAAAAGAGACATGAACAAATGTTAAATATTTCGGGTAATTAATATCCTTCATCAGTTATTGATGTCGAATGATTCTTATACACACACAATGTAATCCAGAAAAATAGTGATGAATCCGGAGACGTTTTTCTTTATATGGATTATATTGATAATCGACTTTAACAGAAAAATGATGCATATAAACATCTAAAAAATTGTTAAATAAGACGTAATTTAATTGATTTTACCGTTTTATTGTATAAAATCACTGATTTTCTCAGTGGTAGCCTTTCTACATAATTTTGTAAATCCAATGAAATTTGTTTTTTAAAACAGTCATCTACAATTAGAACAAAATATAACAAAACATGTGACTGTATATTCATGCAAGCCTGAGAAAATAGTAATATTTTTTTTTTTATTTATAAACAACTAATGAATTCAAGGGGAACAACCAAAGTTTTTCTTTGACATTTTTTCATACTAAGAGGAATAACCCAATGTTCAATCACTACTCTTATTTTGTATAGTCTGTTTCTTCATCAATTATCTGGCAAAGAACGAAATCATTTTCTCTGTAATGTTTTTATACGACCGAAAAGTTCTAGGGGGGGGGGGGGTAATACTATTTTCAACAAATTTATCAAAATTTCAATATTTTTTTTAGGGGGGGGGTCTCATAATATATTGGGTTTATTTCTGTTGGCTTTTCGTTATGTCATTGATGACTTTCAAAAGTTATGACGATGTACATTTTGTCCATGGGACAAGGCTTGTTTATTATTATATTGAAATTGAATAACTTAAGTTGGTATCAAGCGATATCCCATTCTCACTCGTTATGAAGCTTATAAATATATAACAGGTTAACTAAGTATTATGCAAAATCAAAGCGAAATAAAGCATAGAACACTGCAGATTGCGTTGAACTGATGCATTAACCATTGTTTGACACCCAGTGGCTTATTAAATGCAAGATGAATACATGATCAAATGATACATGAACTTTGAGCCTACATGTACTCTACACCAACACAACAGATTTACACACTGAACCAGATAATAAACAGTCAAGGCAAAGATACTACCATGAAACCACTGATGTGGTTGAATTTCAGTTATGAAAACCATGTCAAAATGTGGAAGTTCATCACACTTGCAGCAATGCATGTGCTCAATGTGTGACATGTCATATTTTAGAAAAATTGTGTGGTAAGGCATGTACCTGCAGCAGGAACAATTCTGCTGGGGATTCAGGGATGTGGACCTCAGCTTGTTCAAGTTTGTGAACTGATTTATACGGAGACGATGGATGCCAAATGTAAAAGCGCTATCTAAATATCTAAGTAGATGAAAACCAAAAACAGTGAAAACAATATATAATTTAGTCACCAAGTACAACTTTTATTATGTAGTCCAAAGTAAAGGAATGGAGCATTCAGTGACTTCAATAAATACCTGTAGTAAGAAGGCTCATGGCAGATGCACTAACCATTAATGGAAGTTTTGGAAATTCACAGCTTTCCTTTAATGGACTTTTTTTTAATTTTCCTTTATTGTACAGAACTTCAGTCTTCAGACAACTTAATGTAATGATTAGAAACCAGTTACATGTATATAAAATGTCTAAGCCTAAGTCTATCAAAGAAGGTCATAAATGATTTGCGAAGATGCAAATACTAAACTTTAGAATATAAAAAAATATCTTTAACCTATGAATTCAAAATACCAATATCTATTCAATTTCACAAATATGAACCGAATAAGCATCATGTAAGTCATTAAATAAAGAAATATGAAATTTATAGTTTTAAACAAGGGAAATAACAATGACATAATAATCCTGTCTGCCAAATACAATTTGGTTTCTCTAAGGGAAGGAGGTTAATGCAATATTATTTCAAGCCAATTTTTTTTTCTTATTTTTAGTAATGTTTAATGTCTTTTGTTGTGTAATGCTTGGATTAATTTATTAAATACTTTTCATCATGAAGCCAGATATGCACATTCTGAAACTGATTATACTACTAAGGGAGACAACTACATATGCACTTTCATATTCAGTCAACGTGCATCACTATGCATTATATATAAATGATGCGACAAAGAGGAATGATTTTGTTCAATACAATGACTGTACCTATTATAACAAATAGATGCTAATAACAGAATTAATGGTGGAAATAAGCAAAGATTAACGGTCCGTTCAGGATAACTGTATTTGTCTGGTGAAAATAGGTTGTGATTGCATTGCACATTTCAGTTTCTTGTAAAATATAGAGTTATCGTTCTTTAAAACCTAACGGCAGGTAGAAAGGCTATCAGTGGTTGATGGGTTTTTTGGGTGCTCAGCGGTGAAAAGACCCACCCTTTTGTTACTGTCTTCATAAGCTCTATGGACTAGACTTTCATAACAAATTTCTTTGGCGACCTGAAATTATTTCGTCCACTAAAATTTTGAAATGGCCACTGAAATTTTATATCTGGTGGCCAAAAGGCAACATGGTCTTCAAACCTACTTTGAGGGCTGATTATGAAAATCTGTCCCTAATCAAGATGGCTGCACTAACGTCTAAAGTCACCGCCAGGCGCCACTGAAGGGGCCTATTCATAAAGAAGACACTTGGTTTTTTTTAAAGAAGATTCAACCAATATCTTATCTTCTTAATTACTTGATCGTTTTCTCTAAAAATAAGTAAATGTTGTGTCTTTGTTTGCATGGAATGAATTTTCGGCTTTTTGTACAAAATAAAACCAAATCAATGACAATGTATGCAACTTTCGTTTTCTCAAGCACTTTTCAGTCTCTATCTAGGGAAGATACATTTTATTACACAGTATACTGAATTTCTGGTGCAAAATTTATGTCGTTATTATGAAATTTAGGACTATACCATACCTCAGTGTCGATGGTTGTTTAATTTGAGCTAGTGCGGTGTTCTGTGCTGAAAGATCGATTCTTGGAAAAGATGGCGACAGCGTGGGATAAAAAGAATGTGTCCGAATTCTCTCGTAACTTTACATAGATTTATAACTAAAGCCTAGGTAAATCCGAAGGGTGTATTATGGTGTTACCTCATTCCTTTAATTGTTTAAATAAAATCATATACAATTTAAGTTACGATAACATAATAAAGATTTAAATTAACTTTGAAAACAATGATAATTTTGATTTTCTTATAAAATTTTAAAAATCCATGACAGTATATGGTAAAAGAAATTTTCGGAACACCTCTTAAGATTCCTTATAATAACAACAGAGCAGACTTATTTGTCATGCAAAATAACAAAAAGAAAACATTCCTTTGCTGTTTTAGCATCTTTTGCAACCTTAATATGTGTATGTTCTATTTTACTGAAGACTGCTGAGTAAGGAATTATTCTATTGAAATATTTGCCCAAGCATCAGTGATGATATCTTGTAACACTCACGAGACATGTCTTTGGCTTTGCAACAGTCTGGTGAACAGTACATACATTGTACCATTTCTTTTTGTGTTATTTCCAGTAAAAAAATACTTTCTATGTTGCTGTATAATATGAGGCAGGCATTACCTGTGAAAGGGGACGAAGTCTATATAAATTATTTTTTTTTAATTCAAACATATTTTAATTAAGTTCTAAATCTGTTTAAAAAGAAACGGAAATAGTGAAATTTTGAAATACCGTAACGTTTCCTATATTTTGGTTCTGTTGTTAGGGATTTTAGTTGTGACGTTATTTTAGTTATGACGTCATATTCAATGTAAACAAAGAAATGCTATCATCAGGTAACGTTTTTTCATATCAAAGAATAATTAGAAATGAAATTGTTATTGTGTTCCTTCCTATATTTTACTGGACTGATAAGTCTATATTTCACTCAAAGTCTCATGACAAATGAGACCGGAAGAAGGAAGTAGATTTCTGCGCAAATGGAAAAAAGTTAACGATTTTGAGTTCATTAGTACAATGAAAATTTAGGGAAATTTTCCCCATTTTTTTTTTTTATTATTGATTTTTCTACTGTAATAGGGGACTTCGTCCCCTTATTACCCCCATGTCAAAATGAAACATAATTTATTCCTTTATTCTGACTGAACATGAAACACTAGAGCGCCCTTCCACATGTACAATGTATGGTCAGATCATACATGTCATATGAATTCGTACTATGCATCCTTTTTCAATGGAAATTATGACGTCACAATGCATTCTTAATAGCACGGAAACCCATAACACAAGGATAAGCTCTATGAATTTGTACGTTATATTTGATCGCACAATAAAAAAATAATTTTGTATTGGTCCCTGTTGGTTCCGTAAATAATGAGATCTATGAAAGGGATGGAAAAAAATGAATCTCAAAATCCCCAAAAACTATTTTACTTTCTGAAACACAAAAATGCATATACATTTTGTAACTATCATATATTATCATGATTATATATATATATATATACATTTTATATTTCATGTACAATAATGATTATTCAAGAATACGCTAATTATTGCAGAGTATGGCACCCATATTTGACGTAAATTTTGCAGATATTTATATTATGTCTAGTCATGGAAGTATTATATTGACAGGAATCCTTTTTATTTTACTTCCATGATCTAGTAAACAGGTTATATGAAAATAAACGCATAGATCTGCATTTTTTTTTTCAAAAGAAGCACCTGTACATATTCCAAATGAATAAATATACTTTCCAAGAGGGTGTAGATTATCCTAAAAAAATCTATATACAGTATATAACAGTCACAACATGCATGCCCTGAAGAAAATGAGCAGTTAAAGGAGTGAAAAGGAAATAATTTGCAATTAAACGTTGACTCAGAATTGTGAATAAAAAATAACAGAGAAGCTTTTCCTATTCACTGAGCAAAAAGAAATTTAGTATCTGGGTCACTATTAATGTGTACTTTGACGACAGCTCTGCGGTTGATCAGATTCATGACTTTTCGTAAAATTCATTAAAAATAAGTCTGGATCCAACCCCTTTTACTATATTTCTCTGATCTTTAAGTACATAAAATGGGTATGATTTGTTTAAATGGACACTGTTCAATTAAACAAATAGTGTATACATGTATTGCAATCTCGACATGCATTGGGTAAAAGCACTCAACGTTCCCAAGAAAATCTCTATACAGCAAAAACGTGTCCAAGGCGATTTATGGGCGACCCACTGTCATATAAATAAGAAGATGTGGTATGAGTGCCAATGAGACAACTATCCATCCAAGTCACAATGTGTAAAAAGTAAACAATTATAGGTCAAAGTACAGCCTTCAACATGGAGCCTTGGCTCACACCGAACAGCAAGCTATGAAGGGCCTCAAAAAGACTAGTGTAAAACAATTCAAACAGGAAAACCAACGGTTTAATCTATACGAAAAAAACGAGAAACACTTATGAACCACACCAACAAACGACAACCACTAAACAACAGGCTCATGACTATATATATATATAAGTCATTTATTATTTTCTTTTTTTAATTATTGTATTCTTAAAACCACTGTCACTCCCTTCTAATTACACAATTGTGTTTGTTTTATAGTTTGTTTTTCATTATGCCATTTGAACTATTTAATGTAAATGTGTTAGTGCAAATAAATATTGTCTATTGTATGTATCTATAAGTCTTACCGATGCCAGCTTATGTTCTGTATATTTCCAGTTTAACTTCAAGCTTGCTCAATGTGATACAGGTGTTACAAAGTCCTTATTACCGGTATTTCATGAAAAATTTTTGTAATCTGCTATACAAATTTGCGTGAAAGGTATGCTGAACCCTTTACCTGTTTACAACATGGCAGCCTTGGTGAACAAGGAAATATGTACATATAAGAGATAGATTAGTCCTAAATAAATGTTCAACTTCAAGTCCTTTTAATATTCCTAGGTCTTACTGTTATTCTTCTTTAAATTAAGAATATATGTATACCTCGTCCTTATAATAAATTAAAGGTTAGTCAGTATTAAATCATAACAACTTCAAGTGGCATTGCAGGAGAAACAGAAAAAATAACCGGTTGTGTTTAACTGCAATTTGAGCTAATACATGTAATACAACTTGACCAAGAACTTAAAAGCTCAATATCAAAAATTATCTCCCTTTGCAATTTTTCAAAGAAATTCTTGTTTCTCACTTGTTCTTTAGAAGTGCACTATGAATCTTTACAGACATGCTTTGAAACACTGCTATATACGATATTACAATATTTTTCTCTTACTGTGAAAAAAAAATGACCCCCCCAAAAAATGTTAAAAGTTGAAATTTTGTACACAGAATAATCATAATCAACTATATTTCTTTTCTTTGCCTGTAAAATTTGAAAAATCACTTCCAACTCAAATTCTTTTGAAAAATATCAAATGGAGATAATTTCTATGGCTTCTTTAAAATATTTGAGTTGTAGATTTTCAGAATCTGATAAAGAATGTTCAAGAATACAAAATGTACACACTGAAAATTTTTTGTATTATATCTGATTATATATCAATGCATACATATTTGTTTAGGGGCCAGCTGAAGGACGCCTCCGGGTGCGGGAGTTTCTCGCTGCATTGAAGACCCATTGGTGGCCTTCGGCTGTTGTCTGCTCTATGGTCGGGTTGTTGTCTCTTTGACACATTCCCCATTTCCATTCTCAATTTTATGTATAATTTGACAATTGAATTTGAGATGTAATTTATATTGACATAGTTGATTAGAAACAACATCATAAGTTATCAAGACTAAACTCTTCATTGTTTTGTTTGAACAAACATTTTTATATTCAAATTTGATAAAATTTAAGTCCTATTGAAACCATAATGAACAAAGATGTCAAATTTGAGGTACCTGAATTTAGCACCTCATGGAGGAAAGCTCATTGTCTTTTTAAAAGATGACAGAGAAAATGGGAGCATTTTTTATAAAAATAAATGATACCTGAAATTCGATTGACGAAGTGTTGTGTCCTGATTTTTAAATATTTTTTTATGTTAAACTTGGATTCCCTTCATATCATTGTTACGCCCTTTGAGAAACTTGACAAATCTAAATAACCAGACATTGGTTACAAATTTTAATTTGATATATTTCATATTTCAGGAATATGACTGAGGAGGCAAATAATGAATGGCTTTAAAGCAAAGAAGTGTTACAATGATGAATTGGATCTCAAACCAAGAAAAATACCAAATCAAAATATTGTGTATAGACTTTTTCGGAGAGAGACACATGTATCAAAGTGTGGTACACAATTCAATGTAGCCAGAAAAATATATACAAATATATTTCCAAACTGTACTGTTGCAAATATTGAGAAACCTCCTTGTTTTTTACGTAAATTTTCTCCTGATGGTAAATGCTTTATTGCATTTTCTTTTGATCAGACATCAATTGAAATCTACACATTTCAGGGATCTCCATCAGCAGAACATTTGTTGCAAGGAGTTCGAGGTGAATACATTGGAGAGAGTGAAGAACAAGGTTTACACACATTCGTTGACAATAAAAATACGTACAGAAAAGTCCGTAATTGTTTGTTTGAATGTTTTTTTAAACTTAAACATGCAACACATGTATCAACAAATGGTGAACATTTAAATCGTGAATGTAGTCTTTTTACTGATGATGGCAAGTATGTTATTGTAGGTTCTGCTACTTATATTCCTGAGGAGCCTCACCCTCATTTCTATGATATTTATAGAAATAATGAAGCTGTCACACCAAATGCTAAGTCACCTCTTGAAGATTATTCACTACATTTAGTAGAACTTGAAACAGGACATTTATGTGACACCAGACACTTTAAATGTGATAAGATTTTTCTGTCACACAATCAGGGCTTATATTTGTACAAAGACACATTAGCAGTACTCTCTGTGCAACAACAAACAATTCATATTTTCCAAGTTGATCCATCTGGAAAATTTACTGATGTAAGAAGTATAGGAAGATTTTGTTGTGAAGATGATCAACTGTATTATCATTTAGGTCTTGAGAATTCTACAGGTCAGGTCCATCGTCCATATAGTGAGACTCCGATTCATCGTCCT